GAACAAGTCTTGCGCCTGGTGGTAAGCGACACGCCTGTCCATATTAGGTATAATGCTTTAATTCGCAAAGATCTGAGGGGCACTGCCACTACGCCCGTAACCCTGAGACATAAGTTGACAAGTCCCATGTACCTGTCATGTCACGAGCATCTTCAAAACCGGAACATAGTAATGTTCACATTACTGTTAGCGGCAGAAATATATGAGGTGGCCAGTAGTTTACTGGATGATACCTGTCAGAAAAACGCTCTTGAGTACCGGATGAAGTTAAGTATTAGAGGTCTGTGACAACCCTGTACACTGATTTAGCTGGGGTCAGAACCTGAACTTATGAGGTTTCTGTACGCGCACAGGTTATAGTGCCCTTCCCGTATAACCAAGAGGTTAATACTAGGGTCGGCGGACTAAAGCACATAAGTCAAAATCTAACATCATTCATTTAAATTAATACATCTACTGGTTAAAGCACATAAGTCAAATTCATTTGTCACTTCATAAATTTTGTACTTTATTCTAGAGGTTATTTAACTTCCAACACTAAAAACAACACAAAAATATATATAATTATATATTAACAACGAGAAACACATTTTTGACTTATGTGCTTTAGTCTGCCGACCCTAGTGTCTGTGTAATCAAAACTTATGTAAAGAAGGTATGGGAGCTGTCAGAAAAATCATTATGTCTATGCATCGCTTGCATTTACACCACCAACGCGAAACACGTGTTTTACAATCTTATTATACATAAAACTTTTCTAAGCCGATTAATGCAATTACCTTATAGTTAAGTGTGGTAACTCCAGTTGTCGTATAAAATTATTCACTTTTTAGTACTGCACCGCGTAGACAATGGAACATTTTAAACAATTAATAGACTCCAATCACAATAACGTAGAATGAACATCGACTGTCATTTTGTTGTTTGATAGTTGGTTCATAGCACGCGATTGCATTGCACGTGATTATTAAATAATTGCTCAATTGACTACTGTTGTGATAAATTAAGTTGTAAATTTAATCTAATTCTTCAGGAGTACGACTTAGTTAATGAAAATACTTATAGCTTGAGTTGCTCAAACTCAAATAATTTATGTCATCGGTGTTTTGTAGAAAGGGCGAAAACGCCATTTTGAAGAAGATTTCAGAGAACATGTTTGTGCGTTTAGATTTTAACAATTGTTTTAAAATTCAATTTTTGGTTTTAATTTTAAAATAGTTATTTTTGATACAAGTGCGGAAAGTTAGTTATTATTCACGAGTCGCGAGGCTTCTTCAAAAAAAAAAAAACAAATTACGCGATTCAAATCCGGAAAACTAGTTTCATTTCCTATAACATCAATGGTTGTTTCAGAGTCTCACTATACAGTTAAATTTATAGAAGCGGGTAGCACTGTGTCATCTGTCAAAAACGCATTTGAATTTGATAAATTTGTAAAAATATCCATATTAGAAAGGCAGAGGGTCTACACAAAACAAACAGTGGTCTACGAGACAAAAAGTTTGGGAGCCTTTGGTCGAACTCAACGTGCTGTACCCTTATAAAAGAAACAAAATAATTTTTAGCATTTTTTGTATGGTACTACTGCGATACCGGCCTAGTTGAATGCGTATTAGTAACTTACCTAGTGTTTGAAGAAATTTTGAACAATCTTATTTAGAACGTTTTTAAATATTATTTTTTAACGTAAAAGCTACTGATGATTATTATAGTAATGTCAAGTGGAAATTATTCTATGATTAGAAGACGCTAATTGGTAGCGAAACCGGAAACTGGCAACTCTTGTGTGTCATTAAAGCACAAACGGGTAACAAAATTAGACAACGTCGCAAATTCATAAGATTTATATGGTACAGTCAGCGACAGCGACTTATTTCTGGATAAGCATACGAATTATCAACATCACGTCTTAAAATCAGCTTTATTCGCAGCAATGAGTCACGAGGAGAAAGTCCGTTACATCGCTGAATATGCGACAGATTTATCGTGGTTTCGCAGTAACGTTACATCCATTCATTACACATCGTTTATCGATAGTTTTTCATATCGATACGTTTCAGTTTACGAATACATCCAACCTTCGTTAATAAACTGAATCTCAATCGCTAATATACCTTTTGACTGATGGACAGTCAGTCAACCTATAAAGAACCCAAAACGTTTGAATAAACAAATATACGCTGACTGTACCGCCTCGGTCAACCGTGACTATGGGACCTGTATAGGGCCCGAAACGTTGGTTTGTTTGAAAAAACAAAAATACGTGATTCAAATCCGGAAGAATAGTTTCAATTCCGAAATATACGCTGTTTAGATCCGAAAAATCTTTTTTTATTTCCAATGTAATATGTAACACTATGTGTAACGTACTTTGTTATTCGGTTTTTAAAACAAATAACCTTTTTTAAAACGAATTCGCGAACTTAAGTTGTGTAATTTGTTGCCATGAAAATGTTGCCCAAAGACAATCAGGAGAAGGACATCTTCTACTCTATCGACATGATTCGACAATGATAAAGTGACGTCACTACCCGAGCCGTCACCTGCGCGGCGCGCGAGGCTGGGGAGGGGGCGACAACTTGGCGTCGCTCTGTCGGGCAGGTTACGATTTACACTCCACAAACTCAGCAGAAAGTTCGCCCGAGAAGCGCTGATAATCCATTCCACAGACGATTCGTGAGAATTAGATCGAGATACTACTACTACGAGATAATACCACCGTGACGTTTTTATGAGATAACTACTATTAGATGTAAATGCCGTCGGCTTTTTTTTTATACCTTGCCTTCTCGTTTATGTTTAATTTGGTAGCGATCACAATTAATTTGATCTTAAGTTGTTTCTTTGAACGGTCTTTTTTCTTTTTATGAAAAATAGACGCGCTTAGAACGCACACAATCTTTTTTATTTAATTGATATTAAATTTATGTTTCCAAAAGGTGCTTCACGAGTACTCATTAGGGTTTTAAACTAGTTTTACTGAAAAGGGCGGCTGGTCATGATTAACTTACGTCATAAAATAAAGGTGAACTATTTACCATTTAGGTTTTTTAAAGAATCGATTGCTATTTAATCATTAGCACATTTCCAAATTCTACCCAGAAGCGGCAGCAATACTTGATATATTGATCATAGAAGCACGCGTTTGTTTAAGAGTTAAACATAGAGTGCCTTCATAAGTGTGTAAAAACTTCTTTTGTTTTACTTTTTTTTATAAAACGATGAGCCTATTCATTCTTGCCTTGAAAAGGCATAAGCATTGAGGGACTAAGTCTGCAGGCTAGGAATTCCACTCCATAGCCGTTTGCCATATTAATATGGAAGCGTAACGCTTCGTGCGAATCTTTGGAATATCCACAACATAGGGGTGGAACCCAAGCCTACATCTAGTCCCCCGGTGATGGCGATGGGAAGGCGGAATTAAATCGTGTAATTCCATCGCACACTCTCAGTGATATATCCTGTAGAATAATAAGGGACTCTAAAATTGAACTTCGACACACGCTACTCCGACAATATGTTACATCGACATGATTTTACGCAGACATTTCGCTACTTCGACAGCACAGACCATCTCGTCTGTTTCTTAAAAAAAATCTTTGTAATCAGATAAGAAAAATCATCATTACAAACCCACGTAGGAAATGGTTTCTTATATCGATCAATATAACAAAAAAAGGACAACATTATATGTTCGGAAATTTATTTTATTGAAATATGGAGTATTTTTTTAAACCATTTTAACACAAAAAAGACGACTTTATGGTTCCTAAGATAGTTTCCTTGTATCCTATGGTTTCGGATTTCCCCATACTGTCCCATTTTAAAAACACTCTGTATTTTAATAAAATATATTTCCGATTATATAATGTTGTCATTTTTTTTTCTTATATTGGTCGATTTCGATTGGAGTAGCGTAATATCTGAGTAAAGTCATGTCGATGTAGCATATTGTCGGAGTAGCGTGTGTCGAAGCTCAATTTTAGAGTCTAATAAGCAGGCAACTTTACGGCGGGTGTTCAAATCCCTGTAGATTCGCCTCTACTCATTCCAAGTCACCTATAAGCCTTTTCGCACGGTTGTCGATTGAATCCAAGGTAGCCAGTTGGTGTGTAGCAAAGCCATCCCATGGGTGGCAGCAGTACTCCAGACTAATAATAATGAGTCCGTTACGGTATTAACTTATAAACGCTTTACTGGGTACGGGTCTCTTTTATTCTTAATATTGACATTTATTCGTCGTATTAGCGTCTGTCATACAGTTTTATTTGAAAACAGTACGGACGCTAATCTTCAACCCTATCTTAAAATACACCTCGCATAACAATATCACGTAAATGTTCCGATACAACAGTTGTCTTGGCTCAATAAAGATTTATTATCGACTTTGTCTGCGTAGAATGAGTTCTTCGAGTTTCGAGTAGCCTACTGTACTATACAAATTACCATAGTTTTATAGGTTCTACATACAAACTTTCATCCCCTATTTCATCCCCTTTAAGATTTATTTTTGTGACAAAAAGTAGCCTATGTCTTTCTCCTAGGTCCCATCTATCTTTATACCATTTTATTTATACCACTTTATACCACCATCGCCAAATTCATTAAAATTCTTCTTCTTAGTGTGCCGCTTCTCTACGAAGGTTGGCGACCATCATGGCTATACTCATTTTTGAAGCTGCTGCACGAAAGAGATCATTAAAATTGGTTCAGCGATTTAGAAGTGAAAACTTAACAAACAGAGTTACCTTAGCATTTATAATATTAATTAGCATTATAACGTTTAAGGAGAAGGTTTATGCCATAGTCCACGATACGGTCCATTGGAAACTTTTTTATATCAAGAACAGGTTCTCCGACGACGTAATTAAAACCGTGTTATGGAATTAGATGCTCATTTATTTTATTTCTCCGCCAATCAAGATAACAATTTTCCACAACATTAATAGCTGAAACTTTTGATTAATACCAACACTGATTTCCTTTCTCTTTACTTCCAGATCACATCTACCGCAAAAGCTGGCTGCCAAATTCACGCAAAAGGTTGTGACAGCATAGCATTCTGGACGACTACGTTTCTACATCGACATTCATAAATAGTAAACAACAAGAAGACCAGTTGCAGAGACTGAATTAAAGTATTCCAAAACCGATTGGCATTATAAAAAAAAAAACTACACAAAACGGTGCGACGAAAGGAAGTGATATTTTGGATGTTAAAAATTATTTCTAGGTATTTACTACCTAGTAAAGTTAACAAATGTGCAATTGAAAAATAGTAAGATGTGTATTCGTAGAACTTTAAAACTTTTATTAGACATTATGCATCTTGTACAGCGTGCAAGAAAGTCCAAATTCTTTAGTGTTTATAGGCATAAAGATTACATCACATGCGATATTCAAGGTATCGCAAAATAACAAGTTTACGTACAAAATTGCCTATTTAACTTACAATGCAACTGGTATTATTAAATTAACAAAGATATCTTATTTGGCTTGGCACAGTTATTAACAAAATAAAATCGTAAATTTCATATTTGACCGTTTCGAAAGTAGCGTACTTATTGACACGAAAAAGCTCTTTTTCACGTAATTGTAGTTAGAGCTTTTTTCTAACCGGCTGTAGCCGAATTAGAGTTAAAAGGTGTGGCACCCTTTAATGGTACGCATCTTAAAGAAGGTATGTGACCTTGTCAAATACCTGGGCAGCACTGAAGAGGAGGCAAGCGTGGAATTGTAGCGTACTTTTAAAAAACCATCCATAATTCACGCTGAGCTCCTGTTCAATGTTCCTTGGAATGTGGTTTGAAAGCTCACTTTAAAGCGCACTTTAATTTGACACGTCAAATTATCTCTTCTAACGGTATTTTCCTTGTTTTTGGATCCTTCCAGATTACAGTGAGTTCGTTAGCCATGTGGCAGCCGCGTCTTATCTTAAAATTTATGCAACTCGCTTAATATAAACTAAAGGAAGAATTTCTATGAGAAATAGATACTATATCTGCGTCCCCTCTTAAACCTAGTAATGTTAAGTTTATTATTACCTCTTAAATGTTTTTTTTATATGTAGCTATTTCAATGGAAATTGTTAAAGTAATTTTGAAACCAACAGTACAAAAGCTGAAAGGTCCTTTGAAATCTGTCCAAGCGTCACCAAGTTGTACTGCAGTTGACATAAAATCACGATGTACTCTATGGGCCACATTTATTTGTCTACATGTTGGCATATGTAAAACATACACACACCGAAACATTTAGCAGAACACAAACAATAAATGTAAAAAAATATATAAAAAATTGATCGTCTGCCATTTTTTCATTCGTCTGTTGTAATTTCCTGCTAAAGCAGGTTTGTCGAGTGGTCCGAGGTTAAAATTGCGTCTTGTCAATTTCGTGAACTTTAATAGAAAAAGTTATTTTGTATTAAAATTTTTATTTAATCAATGTTAAACTGTTGCCATTTTTAAATTTCCAGCCGTTTGTACTTTATCACAATATCTAAAAATAAGCAATTTTGCTTAATTTCGATTTTAAGGGAGTCTTCAATTTAGACGCTTATATAAGTGCTGCAATAATGGCGCTGCAGCAGCGTCGCTACTCATTTTCATACAATATTAAAAAGCGTAGTTGCACTGTCCGACGCGCGCGCGCTACGTTTGCAGTTACTATTAGTGAATTAAAAATTACTGAAGCGCTACAGATGCGCGGCAGCCGCGCCACTGCAGCGCTTCTACAAGCTTCTAATTTGAAAGCGCCCTAAATATAAGCGTTACTATTTTATTCCGCTAATTGTGCTGGTGTGTGTAAATTAGGCCACATGGTATGAACTGTAGACTGTCTGTATTTATGGTCTATTTTTTCCAGAAGTCGCAACATACTCGTACATACTTCAGACTGATTGCAATGTGGACGGTGTTCACAGACCATTGCCATTTTTTTTAAATAACCTATATTTAGTTAATAATGCCATAAACAAATTCATTGCTATATTTTTGTACAGAACGGTATATTGTTTGTATGTGAAACGTTTATGCTGTGCTTGTGTGAAATATGGTAACACCAACTAGAAATAAAATGTTTAAGACATGGCGTAGAATGTAGATTTGTATTGTAGTTTTGTATAATTACATGCTTGTAGCCTTGTAAAGTAACACGGATGAAATGGCATCCCACAATTTGATACAACGAATCATAGGACTTACGCCACTATCGCAACGCTGTCGTCTGACGATGCACCTGCTCTTGTATTTCTCAATTGCGATAAACTTTTATTTGCAAGTTGTTGTGCGTACCTTAGAAAATGACTTAATTGTCGCTCAAACAACTTAGACGCCAAATTCGAATAAAAGATGATCAAATATTTTTGAAAGTTAGTTTCAGTCAGAAAATTAGTTGTAGTGTACATGATCTGAACGGCATTGAAATCTATTTACACATAATGACAGTATTTTATAAAACGTGACATGATAATAATGTCAACGTGTGATAATGTCACATTTCATATATCGATTTCCAGAACAGTGGCTTACCTAACATCATTTAATTCGCAAGAAAGAATACAAAAAAACCACAATATATAGCTAACAAAATGGGAGAATACTATGCGCAATAAAGACAGACAGCAACGAGAGAGTTACTAGCCACTTTTGCATAACTTCGCCCCTGTTGTCCACTAATGTAGGTATATAAAACAGTGAATACCCACTTAAAAAATGTTATAGCTAAATTGTTTCTATGAGAAACTGCAAAAATGATCTCAACTTGTCATTTAAGTTTCTGTAGATAATCATGTAGGTATTGAGACCTCAATGAAGTTAATTTTTAATTCCTCGTTTTGTACACATTAGTGTAAAGTGAACAACACACTTGTCGTACCCTCAAAATGACAAGAATGAGTGCAGGTGGAAGAGACAGCGGTGAGTTCATACTCCACCTAACATGAGATCATAACATCCCAAAGCACAATTCCAAAACATTTTTTGCTCTAACAAAGGTGCCTGTTTTATACAAAATGTAAATAAGCCTACATACTAAAGATTATTATGAAAAATCAATGTCCTATTGACGCACAAAACCATAATTTTTATAGTCAGATCTCTAGTCTCATTAATTTTTGAATAAGCATCGTTCAGCTAAGTGCAGATTTTTACTCATAGCTAATTCAGTGAGGGCTTTGACCTTTTACTCTATTGACGACGTAGAAAAACTACTGAATTTCCTTTGACAGCTTTTCCATTGCAAGATTATGTGTATCGAGTATTAGTATATTTTGACCAAAACCCTAATAGCTACGAATATACGTAATGAGACATCGAATTCAGATTTTGAAAGGCTCTGCGCCATAGTGCGCTATAATTTGATAAACAATATTTTGCTCGCTATGTGCTGTTCCGCCTAGTGCGGTTTCATCTTTAATGTTAAAGGAGTTCAGTAGTTTTGTAACACCGATAATGTAGCAAAACTAAGAAATCATTCTGTGAATTACCTCAGTGGACTGTTTGTGATAGATTTAGCCAATAAGTGTTCAAGTACGTGTAGAAAAAGTCAATTCTTGTACTTTTGGCGTCCATTTTGTTTTTTTTTTATAAAGGCACGGTTTTGTTCGCAATTTTCAATACTTTGGTTTACCTACATTTTGTTTCCAAAGGGCAAAATTAAATTTTAGTCAGTTATTCCTACATTTGACATATAGCGGAATTTTCAACAATCGTTGGAAAACCTCTTAAAAGTTAATGTAAGAACGAAAAAGGAGGCGGCCGAACCTCTTATATGAGAAAATACGTTCGGTTGGTTCAGC